AGCTCGACGCATCCTGCAGCCAGCCATTGTCCTCAGAGCCGGAGCCGGTCTCGATGGTGTTGACTGGGATGAGCTGGTAGCCATCCATTGGCGCTTGTACGCTCTGGCCATTGGCAAGAGTCTGAACCGTCTGGACAGGAGGGTAGAGTCCCTGGAGGAAACCCATGGCTGAGTTCTGGAGGACATTGTCGACGGGTGCTTGGACCTGAAGCTGGGACAGCTTGACTTCATCCTCGTTGATGCCGTGGATCTTGGACTCGCCGGACAGGTAGCGTGAGCGGTAGTACTGGCCGGATGTGTAGACCTGTTCATAACCAAGAGCAGTCAAGTTGGTGGGAGCAAGAGCCTTTGGTGTACGGTCACCATGGCGGTGGAAGATGTAAGCTCCAAGTACGGTCTCAGCTGCCTCGGCACCAGCGAGCATACAGAGAACGGAAAGCGCGACAACGGACTTCATGGTGGGCAATTGAACGCTTGTCAACGAAGGAAGCTGTTCAGGAAAGCGAGTGAAGCAATTGAACCCAGGGCAAAGCGGCGAATCTGACGAGCAGAGGTGGGATGGGGAAAGAGTAAAGGCGGACGTCAGGAAGGACTTATACCAGCTATCTCGCTGCATGCCCCGCTGAGTAAGTAAACCAGGCTCGGGATTAAGCTACAGCAGCTAGATAGCAGGAGCCATCCGCCCAATCCGAAGAGTAAATAGCTCATGATGTAGCGGGGCGCTTGCCTGACAAGCATGGTTCTTTCCGAATCTCGCATTCCGGGAGGGGCAGGTGTAAGTGGGGGTTAGAGCGACCCACTGCCCGCGACAAGCTTTTTCCGCGCACAAGGTATCTTTGGCCGAGAATGACAGTCGCGCTGAATAAGTAGTAGTCAGAATGACGATACGTTATTCATCTGTCGCGGCCGTAGAGTATCTCGCAGACGCCGCCAATTGGCACATCCATCACGGCATCTGTTCCCGTGCTCCAGAAACCCTTCCAGTCCACTTCATCTTGTGCGCTAAATTGATATGCCGAGAAAGAGCTTCGTCGGCTGGGAGGTGCACTGGCTCTAGTGCCTTTTTCCTTGTCTTTGTCGTGTAGCTTGTCTGTGACTAGCACCGGGTCGCGTACTATCTGCCCAGTCATGCGATCGACAACGGCTATCTGTGCGCATTCATCGACGAGGTTCTCGCAGCTGCTTAGCGGTAGTGTTAGGTAGCGCGTGTTGTAGCTTGCCAGGGCAACGTAGATGTAGATGACTAGCACCACCAACCAGCATGGCACCGCGAGCGCCCACCACCGGTTCGGGTAGTAGTGTATGCCCATCTGATGCAGCATCGGAGCTGGCACATAGGCCCAGAGGATGTACATCAGGAATGCGGCAGAGCTGCCTAGGTACAGAGCAAAGCCATAGTATTCGTATGTAGGCACTTTCGGCGAGGCCCGGGGTACTGTCGGCGCATGCCGTGCCGAGCTCGCAAGGTTCGTGGGTGTGCTGGTGCCTGTGGTATGCGAGCCTGCTCTAGTATATCCTTCAACATCCGACGAGTCTGGGGTTGTAGGTCTCGAGGTTGGGCGGCTGAAGGCGGGGCGAAGTAGCGAGGTCAATGATGGAGACGGCGGTAGCGGGGTCGGAGGCCTGTTGTAGAAGGGCGGGAACAGCGCTGTCGCAGTGTGTCGCGGGAGGTGACTATACGATTTAGAGGTCTGTAATGGTCGAGACGTAGGCGCTGGCTCCTCTTCGTCCTCTTCATCTTCGCTGACTACGTCCTCCACCATGAAAGGATCCTCGTCTTCATCTTGGTTGTCCTCTACAGACGCCGCCTCGGAGAGAGCGCTATTCGATATTGGCGATAGAGGAGTTGCTCCTGGACGAGTCGCGGAGCGTGGAGGGGATGTTACCGTGCTGTCTTCGCGACTCTGGCCATCGAATGACGTCAGGGTAGGGAGATTCGGCGTAGATTTTGAGTAGAATCCCGAAGGAAGGGATTCCCCTCTACTGTGGGGTGGCATGTCGTTGAAGTGTGGTTTGGCGCGAAGTGAACCTCATGCATTGATCGCGTGCTTGAGCCTCTCAATTACGCGTTTGCGCTAGCGGAACCATCCCGCACCTGCCCTGCCCTGGAGGTTGGCAGCTATCAGCCCCGTATCACAAAACCATCTCATCTCCAGCACAACATCAACTACACAGATGGCTCCAAAACCCCCGACGACGGCTTTTCCAAAGACTCTGCAGCCAGTGAAACTAAGGAGATGCGACATTTGCTCCTTTCAACAAACCCCCATCGCCTGATATGACCCACGATCCGCAAACTGCACCTCCCTCTGGACGAGAATCAATGCCATGAGCGCAGACTCCCTGCGAACCGGCCCACAATGGAAAGACTGCAAGGGATGCAATACAGACGGTGCTTCAACGTCTGTTCGGGCTGTCTTTGTCAGCATCGCTACTATCGCGGCTTCCTCGTCCAGTCACCTACATCGCTGCAAAGCGCGTCGTCTTCTCTGACGAAGCAGACACGTAACAATGAGGATGAACATCGGTATACATGCTGCGAGAAGAGCGAGAACGGAGATTGTGTTATCTTTTGACCAGGTCATCATTAGATGTGCGCGTTGGTGAGTGTATCGACGTCTTCGCCGGTCTATCATATATGCTGGGAAAGCAGATTTCTGCCATAGTCCTCATGTTCAGATTTGGCCAGAGCAGCTGGTGTTTAGGATTTCAGCTTCGCGTTGTGATACAGATCAGGCTAGGTGTGGAGCAATCCTATGTGGCAGAGGCTGAGCGTGCCGGAAACCTCAATGCAAGAGGCTACACGCGTTAGAATCTCGAATTGATGAGGCTCGGCACGCCGGACTCTGATTTGAAAGAGACTGCATGTGCCGGAATCTGAACTGAGCAGGCGCAGTCGTTGCAATTTCGTCGAATCAACCACCAGCGTGAGCTTCAAACCAGATTCTGCTTTACACATTGCATACATCGGTAAGTAATGCAGACGCCATTGGTCCGGCATGCATTCACGAGGTGGGGGCTGAGTTCAGATTTCGCCAACAGGGTTGGCAGGCGTCATTCACGTGATGTCGTCACTCACTGAACGGGCAAGTGCCCCGCTATCAGCCTGGTCCTCGAAACATAACTCTTCTTATCCTCATGTTTACACTTGTTATGATACTTCCTCGGACTTCGATGCTCCACACTCTCTGAAACTTCACTTCACTGAACGTAACCATGCCGGAGAACAGATACTCACCACGCATCGCAGAGCATACATGGGACCTCCACAAAGCGATCATTTTGCACTTGTATTGCTCGGAGAACAAGCCTTTAACGGCTCCAGGTGGAGTTCAGGATATATTGACCTCTCAGTACGGTTTCTCGGCAACGTATGTGCATAATAAAGTATTTCCTAGGTGGCAGTGGCACATGTTGACTCATCGATAGCAAAGCACAATACGAAACGAAGCTGAAAAGATGGAGAGTTCATAAATATGGAGCAGCACATGATCGTCGTCGTCACGCTTCGATGCTCAACGACCAGGAAATGGGTGGTCTCAATATGGAGCGGCAATTCATAGCGCCTAACAACAGCCCTCGCAGCCTTGCGATAAGGACCTCTTCTTCACAACACCATAACCTGCCGCCCACTCGAATCAGCCCCCGAGCGCCCAGAATCGTCCCATCGACATCAAGCAGCCTATGGCACGACATCTCGTCGGTCTCAATGACTAGCGTTACGTTGCCATCCCCAGTGTCTCGCCGCGGAGCTGGATCATTGTTCCCCCAGAATCATGGATCACCTCGGCATGCGACTTCAAGCGTATATGGGGTGTGCGACTCCGCCTGGAGCGTCCTGGACAACTTTCCATCACGTACGACGGACCTGTTGAGCGACCTTGCTATACCGGATTTCGCGACTTCAATGATACCCGTTATCTTGCGCTTGTTCCCAAAGGCTTCATCAAATGGTCATATCATTCTTCTCGGTGACAGTACTGCGGTTGAATCTGCAATAGTAGGGATGTCTCGTCCGGGCGCGCTGCCCCTTGTGCGCGGACTGAGCATCGATCATCAGCTCATTTATATGATCATGAACCATTTGATCAACCACGATGATGTTGTCCGTACTCTCGAAAAGCCGAAGACAAAGCTCGACCACATCTTCGAGGCAGGAATAACGTACTGCTTCTCGCTTGGACCAGAATTTATGAGCAGTGTTATCAAATCCACTCCATCGCCATTCGGTCTGGCATTGACACAGAGCGTGCTCCGAGCAGCGCTATTCTTAGGGGATGGACCGATTTTGAACGCCATCCTGAGCATGAATCCTGGGGGTCTTGCGAATCGATCTGTGTTACTTGGAGACCAACATTACTATCCATTGCAGTACACAAGCCATTATGGGCATATTGACGCAACGCGAGTTCTCCTTGATCATAATGCTGACCCTAATTGGGGAAGGAACATCTATTTCCTTAACGAGATCTGCGCCTTCCCACGCACCCAAGATCCCAACGCCGAAGCACGATTCCAGATCATACGGCTTTTAATACCTCGCGGTCTAGAAATAGAGCCCGCATCATTAGTGATGCATATGGAACAATGCAGCAAAGATGAACTGAAGTTATTAGTCGAATATTCCTTGGGCAAGAGCTTTGAGGTATTCTTCAATCACCAAGGGCTGCCAATAGCCCTACTACGAGAAGACTGGGACGACTCATTATCGAACACAATCAGTGTGATCATGGAGCGAGCTTCGTCCGCTCATACGGGTAACCAAGAGCTTTGGGAGTCGGTGTTGTCGGCATCATTGTCAGGTGCAGTCCTACGCAGCCATGTATCCGCGGTCGACATTCTGCTTGCGGAAGGTGCGAAACCCAACGTCAACTGCTTGATAAGCGCTGCCCAGTGTAACAACGTGAGGATGCTCGAAGCCTTTCTGGATCGCGGTTTGGACCCTAATGCTCGTTGGTCGATACCACCTTATAATCAGAGACACACATACTACCGAAAATATGACGACAATTGCGAACGCTATCAGGATTCTACTGCATTGGGCGAGTCAATCAAGAACCATTCCCGTGGAGCATTTCAAGTACTTCAAGCGCGCGACTTCATCTCTGAGCTCTCCCACCAGCCGGACGGGTTTGTCTCGGCCTTTGTAGCTGCGTGCGAGGTTGGTGATGTTGTTCTCATCGATCATCTTTTGTCACTGCAAAGCTTCCCACAGAAGCTAGCAGGCATGCAAAAAGCTCTAGAGGCTTCCGTTAGAGAAGGTCAATCGCATGCCGTCGAGAAGCTGTTGTCTGTGGGGATTACGCCGACGATGCGGTGCCTGGAACTAGCAGTCGAGAATAAGCAGCTAGACGCTGTCAGGATTCTCACGAATTCTATGGATGCATTTCGTATGCTAGAGTTGTATGGTCATTATTCCAGGAGCTTCGGTCGTTTCCAAGGGAGAGCTTATGAAAACTTTGCCATCTTTGGAGCCCTTCGGTGGGACAACATAACAGCCATAGGTTGTATACTCTCCATGGAGTATCCCGTCGACACAATCTTTGTGCTGGATCACCACAAGCTCTCAGACTGGAACATGACACCACTATTGTGCCCACCTGGCTACAATTCGTGCTGGCATCTGACACCCCTCAGCGCCGCAATCTTGAAAGGTAACAAAAATGTTGTGAACATCTTGATAGCCTATGGTCTACAAGCCGTGTCCTTCAACTCACAACGTACATCTTACCAAAATCTGTTTCTGACTGAGAGTTGGCAGAACATGACGATTTTGACTCCTCTTGCTGCTGGCGTAATCAGAAATGATGTTCGTCTGATACAAGAGTTGTTGACAATAGGGGCAAATCCTTTCGACAACAGTGCCTTTTATATATGTGCTGTACTCGGCATGACAGACATAGCCACATTGCTGCTCTCTGCTTTCAAGAGTCGATACCCAGAGAGCGAACCATCTTTCGGATACGACGCCCTATACCAGATCATACGACGTAAGGATCTGCGGCTATTCAGGCTTCTTGCAGCCGAAATCAACATCACTGGGCCTGTTGAGAAAGACCGCGGACCAAGACCTTTCCCCGATCGACGAGCCCCATCTAATTGTATATTCACGAGTCCACTCGGTGAAGCAATACGTCTCCACGCTGAAAGCAACGGTGCTGATGGTGGTACACTTGACTACCTTTTAACCCTAGTCAAGAACTACAATACTGTCGTTTATCGAGACTTAGAGCGCGGCGATATGACAGTCTTACTCTACGCAATCTCGCTTGATTCGCTGAAGACAGTGAAGAAGCTATACAAAGCATGCACACAGGAATCTCGGCCGATCCCACGGAGCATCAATCGGACGCCATTGCAAGCAGCAGCACAGGCCGGAAGCAGAGACACAGTAGAATATCTCCTCAGCCAAGGCGCCAACGCGAACGAACCTCCATCCATCCGCGCAGGAGCAACGGCCCTCCAGCTAGCGGCAATCACGGGTAACATCGCCATTGCAAAACTCTTGCTCGAGGCGGGCGCCGAAATTAACGCGCCACCAGCCTTTGGCGATGGCAGAACCGCGTTCGAAGGCGCCACGGAGCACGGACGTATCGCGATGATGATCTTTCTCGTCGATGAAGGCGCCGATCTCCTTGCCAATGGCAACGTACAATATCGACGCGCTGTTGTACTTGCAGAAGACAACCGCCAATATGCTGCGAAAGATCTCGCAGATAAGCTATTTGCAAGAGCTCTAGCGAGCCAACAAGCGGGCTTCCTTGGTATGGGTGAGCCGTGGGCTGGGGCTGAGATGCCAGACTTTGGGACTCTGTTCCCATGAACACAAGGTTTTCCTTTAGACAGTTTTTCTTTCTTTCTTTCTTTCTTTGTATGGCTTTTGTAATCGATCGTCTGACGTCAGACGAATTAGTACGTCGAAAGTCCTTCTCGCAGGCGTTCCGGAGCACTTCCTTCAATCAAACCAACATTGTTTATAACATAATCTCTCCGTGCTAAGTAGTAATCTCAATATACAGCCTGCCGTTGATCGTTGCCATGCACCTATTTATTCGAACCTAAAGTCCAATAGCTATACCCCAACAAACCCCGACAATCTTTTTGAGAAACAGTCTCGCTGACACTTCTGAACAGCGTTCGACACTGATCATCACCACCGACATTTAGCAATGACTCCATAGAATCACCCTGACCGAGCATCACTAACAAACCCATGCAATCACCGTAAGGAATAACCCTGAGTAGTCATCACCAGCGCCTCTGACTAGTTGTCCCGTCTAACAACTACCACTAACCAAACGACCAAACGCGGGCTTTTTGCACCATGTCTGCAACAACATGGCGTTCACTCGATCAATCTGCATGAGACTTCTCAATTGAGAAGCTCGAATCTACATAATGGGCAACAAACCAATCACTCAACATTCAGCACCTGCATCACAGGCAATATGCACAACACCCCAGCAGTTTCGCGTGCAAATTCATCATTGCTACGACACTGTCTAAACAACCAGAACAGTCATCTACAGCTTACTAGCCTCCCCACTCGTCCTGTTAAGGTACAAAGGATCCCTCGGCTCAATCCCATACTGCCTACACAGCTCCTCTCCCTTCTTCTGCTGCGCCTCAATCCTAGCCTTATGCGCAAGACCCCTCTTATTCTCATTCTTGCCCAGCTGCAGCAGATGCACCTCGTCCGGCCCATCTACAATCCTCATGGTACGGCCACTCGACCACATCTGCGCAAGCGGAGTATCTTGACTCACACCCGCACCGCCGTAGGCCTGCATAGCCCAGTCGATGACCTTGAGGTTGACTTCAGGAACGAGCACCTTGACTTCGGCGATTTCCTTGAGCGCGCCCTTGGCGTTTGTTTCGTCGATCTTGATGGCGGCGTTGAGGACGGAGAGGCGGGCGGCGTCGATTTCAATACGGGAGCGCGCGACGCGCTCGAGCATGATGCCGTGTTTGTTGAGGAGCTCGCCGAACGGCTTCTTGCGCTCGTCGTTGATGCGGGCGAGGAACCATTCTAGTGCCTTCTCGGCGGACCCGATGCTGCGCATGGCGTGGTGGATACGTCCGGGTCCGAGACGGCCTTGGATGATTTCGAATCCGCGGCCTTCGCCGAGCACCATGTTGCTGGCGGGGACGCGGACGTTCTCGAAGGTCACGTGGCCGTGGCCGTGGGGTGCGTCGTCGAAACCCATGACCGAGAGCATGCGGTGGACTGTTACACCGGGGGTGGTGTTGGGGACGAGGATGACGGATTGTTGCTTGTACTTGTCGGAGTTGTTGGGGTCGGTCTTTCCGAGGACGATGAAGATCTTGCAGCGAGGGTCGCCAATGCCGGATGACCACCATTTCTAGGAGGTTATTAGTAAGGCGATGTGTGCGAGTGAAATTGAGGTTAACGTACCTGACCGTTCAGTACATAATGGTCACCATCCTTCTTGATAGTCATCTCAATGTTGGTAGCATCACTCGACGCAACCTGAGGCTCCGTCATCAAGAACGCAGAGCGAATCTCGCCCTTCAGCAGGGGATCCAGCCACTGCCTCTTCTGTGCCTCGGTACCGTACTTGGCAATGACCTCCATGTTGCCAGTATCAGGAGCAGCGCAGTTGACAGCCTCGGAAGCTGTCCGGCTCTTGCCCAGGTACTCAGCCATGAGGCCGTACTCCAAGTTGCTGAAGCCAGCACCCTCCTTGAAGTGTGCCTTGGGCAGGAACATGTTCCATAGTCCAAGCTCTTGTGCCCTCTTCTTCAGGTCTTCGATGATGGACGGATGTGACGAGAAGCGCTCTTGGACGGTCTGGCCGATCTGGCGAACGTATACGGCGTCGGCGGGGATGCATTCTTCTTCGACGAACTTCTCTACCTATGAATATGTTAGCATGTAGTTATCCAGAGCTTGCCAAGCCACCTACAAGATCGAGTGTCTTCGCCGCCCTTTCGCTGACAAACGGCCGTGCGATGACGGGAATGCGCTGAGAGGCGGAGATATGACCATCCTTGCTGTTGCTAAGCAGATCGTAGGCGCGGTCGTACGGTACAGACATGATTGCGTGCTGTGGAGAGAGAATGAGGTAGGGGAGAAGGGTTCAGGGAGGAAATCCGGGGTAGTTTAACAAAAGATGCGGAGAGACGACTCGTCCGTGGCTACTGCTTCGGTCATTGATGTTGGGAGCTAAGAGTTGCCGAGGTACGCCATGCACCACCTCCGCTTTGGACCTCGTAACTTGGCTGTCTCACACCACGCAGACGTGATGCCAAGGTGTCCGATAGCAAACGTATCTTAGAGAAGGGTATCGTTGGCCGAGGCATTGATGATAGTCATGTCGTGGTAGAGGCTGCAGTTGGAGTTGGCGATAGCTGCAATGGACGCGACGCCACCATTACGCGTGACGCACAGTCCAACCTCCGCAAGAGGCTATGGAATCGCATGTGTACATCAACGTGGTTATGGGAATTCATACGGGCCATCGCAGCACTCATACAATGACCGTTAGAGAATTCCTTGACTCCATGATCTTAACACGAGTATGCATCGACTAGGTGACTCATCGTGCTCCAGCAGCTACAAGCCTACTAGTCGAACACCTACCATAAATCCACCCAGCAGCCACATCTCCAATCCATGATCACCAGCAATGACATCGCAGCCAGCCCTCCCCCGCGAGCTCATCGACCAAATCATCACCACCCTCATCACCCTCCATTCCCACGACCCAGCCTACCAATGGACAAACCTGCGCCACATAACCCGCCACCACAAAGCGCACCTCGAGCAACATTTCCTCACCCACTGGGTCCCCAAGCTAGTGTTCGAAATCCCACATGACTATGGCTCATGCCCACTCGTGAATTTCACAGCCCCCACGCCACCTCGCACACTCCAGAAAGATGACTCAGGGAACAACGGTGCAGATATCGTGGTATTTACTGAACGTACCGGTCTCCGTCTCACCGACATGCCCAACCGCTGGCACGAACACGCCACAGGAAACATCAAAAGACATCCCTGGGAGCAATTCGATTCCAACATCATCGTGCACTTCGGCAACGGCACGCTGAACAAAGGCTACTCAAAAGGCGGTATAAGGAGCGATGTCGTCATCCCCAATCTATCCATCAACACAGATGCCTCGCCGTGGGAGTTTTCTTTCGCTTGGAAAGAACTCTTCACCAGGCTCTTTACCGAGGAAATGGTGATGCGGACATTCCGGGACAAGCTTCTTGGGTGGTTTGTACCCACTTTGGGAGGGGATGTAGAGCCGAGGGTGGAGATGGCAGCTGTATACCATTACTTGCGTAAACATTTTCACTGGCAGCGGAGGGCTGTGTTGGCGGCTTATCGGAAGTATAATTATCCTCTTCTGTGGGATGAAGAATACTGTCGACGTCGTTATCGCGAACAACATACTGAGGGTCGCTGCTACAAAGCGTATTCTTCCAAAGGTCCCTTTGACCTCTCACGTTTCGTTCATCAAGGCAGAGAGGAGCTTGGTGTGTCTCTTAACAGCGAGTTCCATATCCTCGAGGACGAGGAGAGCATGGTGTTCCAAGTCCCCGGTTGGGAGACGTGGGACGTAGGGGATTTAGGGCGCATGCGTGTTTATGAAGAGATGATTGAGGAACGGCAGTTGACGGATATATGGTTTGGATACCGTGATGTTCAGTTGGAGGACTATTGGGAGTTTTATTACAAGGATCTATTCGAGGTTATGGAGGGAAGAAGGACAGTCAGTGATGAGGTGCTTGAGGAGCGTTTGAGAGCCGAGAAGCTGGATCCAGAGGAGTTCTGGATTTCAAGACCAGCCAATGAATGGTTTCCATACCAGTAGTGAAGGGGTTCCGGGAGTCCTTTGTGGTTCTTCCCACGCTGTCTTATCTATGTTACGATGTACTTTGGTTGAGGTTTGAGTGAATGCTGACATTCCATCGGAAACTCTCAGAATATCACGACTTGAAGTGTAACCTGACCCAATGAATTTTGGTAGTCAGCAGTCACTAGTCGTTGGGTCGGAGAGAACCGTGAGCGACTCTATTCTGATTCCACATCGCAGTTTTGAGACGTAGCTGAAGTCAGATATACGTTGTATAGCTCTCATAGCAACGTAGTAGTGAAATGTGAAGGGTGCTACCTCGTACAGCTTGTGATGAGGATAGACCTGTAACGGTGACATGAATCGCAAGGCTATAACGTTGCTCGGCCCTCGTTGCTGGGCTTCAATCTCGGAAGGGTTGCTTGTCGCAGACCGGATCAAACGGGTATGTTGTAGGAAACGAGTAAAACGTATTGTGTAACTGTACTTAGTGCCAAGACACCAGACCGTGAGTCAATTGATGCAATAGCAGTGCCAGTAGCCTGGTAAAGAATGGTTAGAATCTGGAAGATGAAGGTTACACTTCTGTCGGTGAGCGCGGATGTGTACCCGCGAAATGCTTCCTACAACGACCAAAAGGTGTCTGAGAAGGTCGTCCCGCCTGCTTGTGGCGTACACAGACACCAGATAGAGCCAATAATAGTCTTGGGCGTACGAGTTAACTGACAGAATGGTATCATCCGCCCGGGCAGCTGCGTGTCGCTATTCTGGTGCAGAACCGGATGAATGCATGAGATGTGTGCGCTCAACCGTGACGATGTAACCACGATGTTGAGTGGGCTGTTACGGATCCGACATGACAGCTGCAGACGAGCGTGGCAAGGTCTCCGGCCGATGTCGGTAGCCGAATACAGCTCGTGGTACAACCATCGTGCATACTCTATTGTCTTCATTTAAAATAGATGCTCATCCTGTACCGCATGGTTGCGCGCTATCAGCGATGAAATCTCCGAGTATTCAACCATATAGGTGGACCGGCATAGTCCGATCGTCGGGTATGACAAGTCGGCCGGGTACTCCGTAAGGCTGAGGTCCATATGCGTGCTCTACTTGAAGTGGATTGGGGGTACATATCGTGGTTGCGCAGATCGTATCGTATCTAAGTTCGACTGCCTGACAAGTCCAGATGTCTAGGCCTGCGTATTCTTGTTCGTCGCTTTACATATAGACTCCCGCCACCAGATCTGAGACAGAGCGGGAGGCTTCGTCACACAGTGTCGCTGTGGAGCGAGGTGGTGCTTCATGGGCTTGATCTACGATTCCTCGGGACCAGTAATCTATTTTCATGTTAGGAACGGTTCGGGTCGTAGTGAACTTGAGCAAACGTCAAGTGACGGATTCAGAGAGATGGTGCTTGCGCCCAGCTCGGGCTCGAAGAGGACCTGGACTGTTGGTGAGTGGAACGGGTGAGGATGGGTAGTAATGACGGCAATAGTGGGGCTCATCACACTGGTTTTGGCCATTCTCACGGTCGAGCGGTCGTCTGCAGCGGCTGGGAATATCGCCGTCAAGAGCCCTTAAGTCACATGACCAAAGCCAATAGGGTGGGTCGGATTTCCGAACGGCATGCTCACTGCATGTTGACGTATGAGCGGCAGTCGGGCATCGATAGTGTAGCTCGACTAGCCTACCCACACAGCAAGCGCCGAATGCAAAATCTGTAGGAATTGTTTCAGCCCGATCTATCTCAGTAGCCTGCAGATGGACTTGTACGTGATGTCCATCGTCGTTCGAGGCATGGCTGTTGGCGGCGCCTGGAACATGTTGCGCGCGCGATTTGCACGTGCCTTGCAGCACCAAGTGCGGGAAAGGCGAAGAGGGGAACACAAGCGTCATGAATAGTTTGCAACGATGTCGGTTGCTGCAAGTGCGGCCGATTCGGGTTTAAAGGTGCGCGTGTGTAACCCGCACCGAGCAGTGGTTCACACCGGCCAGTGGGCCCTGGACATCCGAGAGCAGCAGTGTCGTTGACTTGATGCGCATCCGCTTGGTGCAGCTGGCTGCCGGTCAAGATGGAAGCGTGCACAAACGGTGGAGTGGCATTTCACGAGACCAGAAGGGCATAGTGAGTCGCTGGGCTGGGCGGCTGTGAAAGGATATGCACCACAATAACACGCCACGCCTCTGGGTCGCCCGGGCATTCGGCTGTAGACGAAGAGGGGGGCGCCAGGACCAGGGCGCGAGAGAACATCAGCTGCCCTCCAAGTGGAGCTGCAGGCCACGAGGGCGTGGCCGGGGCCTCGAGCAGCATGACGATGCAGCAGGACGAGGCGACAGGGCGGCGTGCAGGGGGACTTGGTTTTGCAGCAGGCCGCAAGGGTGCGGTCAGAGTTTGGAAAAAGCCATATTGTTGAGTCGGATATCAGCTTCTTCAACGCCAGTCGGAAGACTTTTCTGCGGCTACCGACCCCTGTACTCTCGCGAGTGTCCTGGTACGTCGTCGACACGAAAGTGCGGCGGCGGCGGCTTTGATTGACGGGCGGTGGTGCAAACAAAGACAAGGTTGTGGTTGCTCGAACAGCGCGGTGCATGAAATTGCTGCCGCGGGCGCTCAGGCGTCCGCAGCATGGAATTGGCTGACGGAGTCGAGCATTCGCACAGTGTTGAGCGACGCTCGCTAAGGGCAGAGGCGTCGTGGGCCCTGGAGAGGAAAGAGGGTCTTGTTCAGGCCATAACGTCTCAATGGGAACGGTCGTCGCATGTCAAACGCAGAATAGCAGCTACTCACTGCCTGCTAGAGCCGCGCAGCCTATCGCCGGGCAGGTATTCACAGCTCGTACGGCCAGGTTAGTATAAGCACAGCAAGGCCCGGCCATGATTGGAGTGCGTCTCAGCCACGCGCCAGCGAGCAAGTGGGTGCAGCTCATTTCAGGCGGCATGACGGCGTGCTGGGAAGAAATCTGATGCCTCACGTGCAGGCCGGCGTCCGCAGCTGCAGACGCAATGGTCATGTTGAATGTTGGCGATGTCGTATGTGAGGCCGCTGGCGACGGCTGGCAGAGCACACTCACTGTCGTGTGCTGACGTCTGTTTCAAGCAGGCGCGCTCGCATGCTCCTGCCGCCGCCAGAGCAGCCCTGTGTATGACATTACTATAAGGCTCCACGAGAAGCTATCATCTGCATCCCATCCCCCCGTTTCCTGCAGGTCCGTGATTCCTGCACCGGGCGATTACTGTACGCTGCTCCCTCGAGCAGCTTAGACGCCGCTGGGCTGGTCTGCGCTGACAAGTAGGTGAATTGCAGGCCTTCTGATCACGTTGGCACCCAATTTCGCACTAGCAGTGCCCCGCCCTTAATCCCCAGCACTGCCGTCACTCAACCCCATCGTCGCCTTTCCTCGCACCTTCACAAGCTCTCCATCTCCGCCCTCAATTCTCCTTCACCCCCTTCCCACCACCTGCTGTGACTGCCGCCCGAGCATCGTTGCTGAGGGGTCGACCTGCGCCTTCCTTGTTCCTTAGCTCCGTCAGCCACAACAAGCGTCACCTGGTACTGCACAGACGGCACGCGGGACCACGCCCTCTTGACACTCGACCTCGCGCCTACAACCCTATCTGCTCCGCCTCAGCCCGCCCGACACCACTCCTCGCCCACACTCAACTCCCCTGCCGCCCGCCCTCCAGTTCCCCAGCAATCCGCGCAGCGCTGCCGGACCCCCTCCCACACGCATAACACCAAACAATGAGCCAGAACCGGCCATCGGCCTTCTCATCGCTAAGAATGGGTGGTAAGTGCCCCCCGTCATCCCGCCGCGTAATTGGCCTCATGCTCACCCTCCCGCAGAAGTTATCCGCGAAAAGGTCCAGGACGGCCTGACCGGCGACTACAAGGACCTCGCATACACGCAGTGCAAGATTGTCGGCAACGGCTCTTTCGGCGTCGTCTTCCAGACCAAGCTGTCGCCTAGTGGTGAAGATGCGGCCATCAAGCGTGTCCTGCAAGACAAGCGCTTCAAGGTGCGTCTGCGCGCCATCATGACATGCAGCCCCAGCTGACCCCCGCAGAACCGCGAACTCCAGATTATGCGCATTGTCCGACATCCCAACATTGTCGAGCTCAAGGCCTTCTTCTACAACAACGGCGAGCGGGTACGTGTCTGCAAGCAAGCGCGTGCGTGCATTTCGTGTAGCTAACCGTTTCAGCCACAGAAAGACGAGGTGTACCTGAATCTCGTGCTTGAGTTCGTTCCCGAGACCGTGTACCGTGCTTCGCGCTACTTCAACAAGATGAAGTCGGTTATGCCCATCCTCGAAGTCAAGCTGTACATCTACCAGCTCTTCCGCTCGCTCGCCTACATTCACTCGCAGGGTATCTGCCACAGGGACATCAAGCCCCAGAACCTCCTGCTAGACCCTTCAACCGGTGTCCTGAAGCTGTGCGATTTCGGAAGCGCCAAGATCTTGGTCGAGAACGAGCCCAACGTTTCGTACATCTGCTCCAGGTACTACCGTGCGCCTGAGCTGATTTTCGGAGCGACAAACTACACTACCAAGATCGGTATGTGTTGTGCTGTAATAAGCGGGAGCCCGTGCTAATACTGTACAGATGTCTGGTCTACGGGTTGCGTCATGGCGGAGCTCATGCTTGGACAGCCATTGTTCCCGGGAGAGTCAGGTATTGACCAGCTGGTGGAGATCATCAAGGTTCTAGGAACGCCCACCCGCGACCAGATCCGCACCATGAACCCGAACTACATGGAGCACAAGTTCCCCCAGATTAAGCCTCACCCGTTCAGTAAGGTATGTTTAGCGATGCGTCCCGGTAGCCGCGTGATTTTTACTTACATGGACCAGGTGTTCCGGAAGGCTGATCCCAACGCGATCGATTTGATCTCCAAACTCCTCGAGTACACGCCAACTCAGCGTCTTTCGGCCATCGATGCCATGGTACACCCCTTCTTTGACGAGCTGAGGGACCCGAACACGCGTCTCCCAGACTCGCGTCACCCCAACGGAGC